TTTTTTGGGCCTTTTTTTATTTGGCCTTTCTCTTTTTTTATTTCCTCACACGGGATAATGCTCTAATAATGATGAACATCAAACTTCTATTTATTTACAACTCAAAAATTACAACTCGATACTAGAACAAAATATGAATCTATATGAATGCCTCCGGCGGTGTAGCAGGATGTGCAATGATTCAAGAGTGACATGTATAAAAAATTATGAGCGGTGGCTTTGCCACAAGTACGATGTCAACTACATGATCATGCAAAGCAATATTACTATGATGAAGCGTGTCATAATAAACGGAACGGTGGAAAGTTGCATGGCAATATAGCTCGGAATGGCTATGGAAATGCCATAATATGTGGGTATGGTGTTGTTTTCAGGAAGGTAAATGATGGGTTTATGATACCGGCGAAATATGCGCGACACAAGAGAGGCTAGCAATGGTGGAAGGGTGAGAGTGCGTATAATCCATGGACTCAACAGTAGTCAGAAAGAACTCACATACTTATGGCAAAAATCTGCAATTCATCAAAACCAAGCACTACGCGCATGCTCCTAGGGGGATAGATTGGTAGGAAAAGACCGTCGCTCGTCCCCGACCGCCACTCATAAGGAAGGCAATCAAAGAACACCTCATGCTTCAAATTTGTCACACGACGGTTACCATACGTGCATGCTACGGGACTTCCAAACCCCAACACAAGTATTTTTCAATTTAACAATTACTCAACTAGCACGAATCTAATATCACCATCTTTATATCTCAAAACAATTTTCAAGTATCAAATTTCTCATAGTTTTTTAATGCACTCTATATGAAAGTTTTTATTATACCCATCTTGGATGCCCATCATGTTAGGACTAATTTTATAACCAAGGCAAATTACCATGCTTTTCTAAAAGACTCTCAAAATAATATAAGTGAAGCATGAGAGATCATTGATTTCTATAAAGTAAAACCACCACCGTGCTACAAAAAGATATAAGTGAAGCACTAGAGCAAAATTATCTAGCTCAAAAGATATAAGCGAAGCACATAGAGTATTCTAATAAATTCTGATTCACGTGTGTCTCTCCCAAAAGGTGTGTACAGCAAGGATGATTGTAGTAAACTAAAAAGCAAAGACTCAAATCATACAAGACGCTCCAAGCAAAACACATATCATATGGTGAATAAAAATATAGCCTCAAGTAAACTTACCGATAGACGAAGACGAAAGAGGGGATGCCTTCTGGGGCATCCCCAAGCTTAGGCTTTTGGTTGTCCTTGAATTTTACCTTGGGGTTCCTTGGGAATCTCCAAGCTTAGGCTCTTTCCACTCCTTGTTCCAAAATCCATCAAATATCTACCCAAAACTTGAAAACTTCACAACACAAAACTCACCAGAAAATCTCATGAGCTCCGTTAGTATAAGAAAGAAAACCACCACTTAAATATACTGTAATGAACTCATTCTTTATTTATATTGGTGTTAAACCTACTGTATTTCAACTTCTCTATGGTTCAAAACCCCCGATACTAGCCATAGATTCATCAAAATAAGCAAACAACACACGAAAAACAGAATCTGTCAAAAACAGAATAGTCTGTAGCAATCTGGATAGTTCGAATACTTCTGTGACTTCAAAAATTCTTAAAAATTAGGAAGACCTAAATAATTTTCATATTGATCTACTTCAGTTGGAATTGGTATTTTATCGCTCTCTAGTAGAAAATGAAAATTATTCTTGTGAGCGCATACTTTCTGTTTTTATCAGCAAGATCAAACAACAATCACCCAAGAAGATCCTAAAGGCTTTACTTGGCACAAACACTAATTAAAACATAAAAAACCCACTCATAACAGAGGATAGATGATTTATTTATTACTAAACAGGAACAAAAAGTAAGGAACAAAAATAAAATTGGGTTGACTCCCAACAAGCGCTATCATTTAACGCCCCTAGCTAGGCATTGACAATTTCGATGATGCTCACATGAAAGACAAGAATTGAAGCACAAAGAGAGCATCATGAAGCATGTGACAAACACATCTAAGTCTAACATACTTCCTATGCATAGACATCTTATAGACAAACAAATTATCATAGCAAGAAAAAACTAGCATATGCAAGGAAGCGGAAAGAAACAATAGCAATCTCAACATAACGAGAGGTAATTTAGTAACATGAAAATTTCTACAATCATATTTTCCTCTCTCATAATAATTACATGTGGGATCATAAGAAAATTCAACAAAATAGCTATCACATAAACTCAAGCAATATGATATAAACCTCATCTTTTTATCCTCGATGGCAACAATACAATACATGCCTTGCTGCCCCTACTGTCACTGGGAAAGGACACCACAAGATTGAACCCAAAGCCAAGCACTTCTCCCATTGCAAGAAAGATCAATCTAGTAGGCCAAACTAAACCGATAATTCGAAGAGACTTGCAAAGATATCAAATAATGCATATAAGAATTTAGAGAAGAACCAAATATTGTTCATAGATAAACTTGATGATAAATCCACAATTCATCGGATCTCGGCAAACACACCGCAAAAAGTATTACATCGAATAGATCTCCAAGAACATCGAGGAGAACTTTGTATTGAGAACCAAAGAGAGAGAAGAAGCCATCTAGCTAATAACTATGGACCCGAAGGTCTGTGGTAAACAACTCACACATCATCGGAGAGGCTATGGTGTTGATGTGGAAGCCCTCGGTGATCGTATCCCCCTCCGGCAGATTGCCAAAAATGGTCCCTAGATGGGATCTCATGGGTACAGAAGGTTGAAGGGGTGGAAAAGTGGTTTCGTGGCTCCCCTGGATGCTTTTAGGGTAGAAGAGTATATATAGACGAAAGAAGTACGTCGGTGGAGCTATGAGGGGCCCACGAGGGTGGGGGCGCGCCCTCCTGCCTCGTGGCCACCTCGTTGCATCTCTGACTTCCACTCCAAGTCTCCTGGATTGCGTTTGTTCCAAAAAAGATCTTTGAGGGAGTCCTGTATTAGGGGGTGTCCGGATAGCCGGACTATACCTTCAGCCAGACTCCTGGACTATGAAGATACAAGATTGAAGACTTCATCCCCTGTCCGGAAGGGACTTTCCTTGGCGTGGAAGGCAAGCTTGGCGATACGGATATTCAGATCTCCTACCATTGTAACCGACTCTGTGTAACCCTAACCCTCTCTGGTGCCTATATAAACCGGAGGGTTTTAGTCCGTAGGACAACATAGACAACAACAATCATACCATAGGCTAGCTTCTAGGGTTTAGCCTCTCTGATCTCGTGGTAGATCTACTCTTGTACTACCCATATCATCAATATTAATCAAGCAGGACGTAGGGTTTTACCTCCATCGAGAGGGCTCGAACCTGGGTAAAACTTCGTGTCCCTTGCCTCCTGTTACCATCCGGCCTAGACGCACAGTTCGGGACCCCCTAACGAGATCCGCCGGTTTTGACACCGACATTGGTGCTTTCATTGAGAGTTCCTCTATGTCGTCGCCGTTAGGCTCGATGGCTCCTACAATCATCAATAGCGACGCAGTCTAGGGTGAGACCTTCCTCCCCGGACAGATCTTCGTCTTCGGCAGCTTCGCACTGCGGGCCAATTCACTTGGCCGTCTGGAGCAGATCGAAAGCTACGCCCCTGGCCGTCAGGTCAGATTTGAAAGTTTAAACTACACGGCTGACATCCGCGGAGACTATTGTAGTTAAACGTATAATGCAGGTATGTGCTGGTCAACAGATGCTTTAAAAAACAGGAGATTCCTTGATGTACATTACTATATAGACAACTTGAGAACAAGAATTGTGTGAAGCCACCTCCAGAGAACGAGCATTATTGCGTACGTCTAATCATATCAAAACTATATGTGCTGGACGACATTTACGCATCTTGAAAGCAACCCTTTGAGGGGCATTGCTGGCCAGGGAGATGGGATGATCACCATCTAATTAGACGACTTCGTTGCTACGCATCAAAAGTCAGTCAATGAGGGGCAGGCATGTACAACAGTTCCTTGGAAGTAGTGGAAATTTCACGGAAATTTCACCCGAATCAGACAAGTTTTCCTGCCAATAAAAAAACAAATTATTATCAGCATGGTCATTTCTAAATTGGAACGGCTGCTCAATGGGTAAACAAACTTGGGACCCAAAGCAAGAGAGTGACCTGATAGTGTGCTGACTGCTGCTGGATACAGTCAGAGGAAGACCAAATCCAAGGCCACTATTTAAAACCACTATCAGAGCCTCTCCTTTAGGCATTCTATGAGATGACACTTCCTAGGAAGAGCAAAGGCACAAAAGGGAAAAGATGCCCCTGGGTTGATGAAAAGTGATGCAGCACAATTAGGTACTTTCGTAAGCCTTTTAGAATGCTTCCAGATATCTTCACCTTTTCTTGTTTGAGGTGGGGCTTCCATGGTTCAGGTTCTGCTGAACAAGATAGCAAAAGCAGAATCAAGATCTGATGTTAATTCTTGATTTTTAATGGTATATGTAGGGAGCAAGAAAGATGGATCAAGAAGAGGTTCATATCGCGGTTGAGAAGAACTTCAGAAGAGAGAAGGCTAACATATTATGGGCAGCTGCAAATTTCCGCCACACTAGTTCTTGTCAATGTTCACTGGCCATCCAAGTGGATGCCTTTCAGTAAGATTTCTTCCGTCAAATATTTTCCATCCTTTGTACAGCTCTAATAGTCACCCATGTGCAATTTTTTTGAAGGAAATTTGAAAGATGTTTCATCAGAAGAAGAAAAAAGCATGTGCAGTTCAGTGTACTGTCTTTCAACTTGTGTGAAAAGAAAGTAATACGCCATCCAATCCTATAAAGAAGCGAAAATTCGAAATGGCTCGTACTAGCATATGATAGTACTATCTAAGCCGTTGGTCCTCTTCTGGATTGCTGCGTGCAGCTGTATTTAGCGTGATATTGCAGCGGTGAATTATTTATCAAACGGTGCCCCTGTCACCTGTCCACTATCCATTAATGCGGTGGCTCACTTTAGTCCACTACGGTCTCGACCGTCATCCATTTCTCATGGACCGAAGCCCTGTAGCACCTGGTCTGCTTGGCCGTCGCGTGACCCCTCCAGCTTCTATTCAAACCATTACCCGCCACATCACAGGCATCCTGTTCACATTCAAATTTTGAAAATTCAAACTTACTGACTCTCCCACCGCACGCATACCAACCGTGTGGCACTGGCTGCCCCCCTACTTGCTTATGCATTTCAAAATTTGTATTTACCACAACAGAAGTAACAGATTTAGTTATCCTATCACCATGATAATAGTCCATTAACGTTCACATCACACGCACGACATGTGCATTCTACAACCACTTTTGGTCCTAATTGCTAGTACAACAGTACACCCTGAACAACTTTTCCCGCTGGCCTGTCGCATGGTGTTCTTCTGATGGCCAGTGACACCACACTTGCTGCAGTTTTGCTTCTTTCCTCTGAACTTTGGGAACGTCTCCTCTCTGTGGGCAAGTTGTTCGTTTGTGGCCTTGAATTTTGCAGATGCAACAGAATCTACTCTTACTCATTCCTTCGTAAGGTGCCTGGCCTCTTGCGTTTGTCGGCCTCCCTGCACTTTTCTTCTTCGACGGCGCTCCCAGGCCAACCAAAGGATTGCTATGCCCCGGCAGCACGACATACTCATCCTCGCTAGCCTTGGTTTCTTTTTCATCGACATTGCCTTGCTTCTTGCCACTGACACGATCCTCCTGTCCCAGCCCATTCCTCGCCTGGTCGAAAGGAGCCATCGCCTTCATAGCTTTATTGAAGAGTCCCATCAGTGTTAAGCTTCCACACTGGCGTCTCCCAACCGGATCAACTCTAATGCCTGCACATACATGTCAGGGGCGTGGCACCAAGCTGATCGCACTGGTAGTGATGCAAGTGCTCTGGCAGTATGTCTCGACCATCGTTGGTCCACCTTCTCACAATGTGCTTATCCGACACCTTTGTCATGCCAAGGAATCCATCACCTGAAAATGAAGCCAACCACGAAAGAGTTAACCAACATCCAGAAACTGCCTTGAAGAAACAAAGTTTTGTGTGAGCCTGGCATGCACGAACCTGAAGTATATGACAAGACACCTATGTGCTCAAAAAGCCCGCATTCTCACCCAAACTCTGAACCATTACCGGTCATTTTTACTAGGAAAACCACCTAGCTCCACTTCTCATGTCTCTACCGTTTCTTTCTCAATGAAGCTGCACTTACGATTTTAGTTTTCTTCTCTTCATAACTCTCATCTGATTGACGATCAAACTGCAACAGCATGTACTGCCTAACAAACTTATGCATTGGAGAGCCGGAGGGCACATAGTTCTTCAGCATATGGTTCACACTCTCACTCCTCTAGGTACTTGTCATCTTCACACAGAAAATTCCCTTGAAATATGACTTCGCCCACTTCTCTCTTATCTCAAAAATCTGCGTCATGTACGAGTGTGCCTTCAGGTCGTACTTCTCCAGTAGCTGAGACCACGCTTCCTCGATCGATCTCGTCCACTGTGAGCATATGGTTTATGACTTTATGAAACTCCTCTCTAAATTCATTTTCTATTCCCGTGCAGAACCCCCAAACTTTCTTTAGCCTTCAAGATGTGCCACTTAAATCACCGGTGGACTGTATCTGACAGTGTGCTCTTTATCACCTGTATTTCTTGTCTAAATTCATTTCAGTTCTGCATCCTTACCGAGCAACCACACACTATCTCTTGCATTTGTCTTCTGCTTGCCTGGGTTCAGTCGGCTTTTGCCATACGTTATACCGAAACCAAGTTCCCATGAGTATAGATTGTAGAAGTCGTACGCTTCCGTCAACGTGTCAAATGTGGTGCCTAACTATGGCTTGACAACCTCTTCTCTGTCTCGCTCCGCAAAGCCCCTTTAGATTTTTTGAGGGCCCCCATCCTTCCCAGGCAGGGTGTTCTTTATGTAGGAATAGTGCCCGCACGAACTCTGCGTGAAAAACAACACACCCACAAAAATCAAACACCAAACATCAGTGAAACCAGTTCCTGATTGTTTTCAGAATTTCCCCCACCCCATAGACGCCCATGCGGAAATAATGATTGCAAGCATTACGTGCAAAAAACTAGAAGAAAAAAATCATCGGCGGACCAGCCTGCCGATGGTGAACATATGCGACAGAAACAAAGCCAGACAACAAACATCCCTCCCTCCCCAAAACCGCCCACACTTGCCTGCTGGTCATGCCTCATGCGTAACGATACAGTAGCACTAATTCAAAATCTTTTCTAATCTCTGTGGTAGCGGGGATCCTAAACAAACCACATGCACTAGACAAACAAAGCAATCCCGTACTGTCTAATACAGAAGCAATTCATGGGGCGCACCACTCAATTGGCTCAACCCCTTTCCCCCTACAGTTTTTTATGGGATGAATCCTCTGGCTGACTGGCTCTGGTGGTAATAGACACAGAGAGCACCACTGAATTTTTGGTTATTTTACACAACATCACCATTACCAGAACAGAACAGCAGGTTGAAAACGAATTACGGGTTAAAACATTCAGAAGAATTTGCTTCCTTGTACCTCTTCATCCAGTCCGGCGACCGTGGAGCCGGCTTGACGGCAGACTCCCCCGACTACGCTGGGCCATTCTCCATGCTCCCATCGCCGTCGTACTCCACGCAGTTGTTGTGTGGAGCCACAGATGAATCCCGCAGCACATCTCCTCCCCTGCTCCCAACCGCGCTCCCGCGCGGCGCCTCCTGGAAGATCAGCAACCTGCACACACGACGAAAAAAGACACGGCGCACCGCCGGGGGGAGTCAAGGACCATGGATGAGCTCGCGCGGCCACCACAGAATACAGATGCGTATCGGATCCACAGGGAAATCATCGATCCCTCTGGCCCCTAGATGGGATCGATGGTGAACATATGCGACAGAAACAAAGCCAGACAACAAGCATCCCTCCCTCCCCAAAACCGCCACACTTGCCTGCTGGTCATGCCTCATGCGTAACGATGCAGTAGCACTAATTCAAAATCTTTTCTAATCTTTGTGGTAGCGGGAATCCTAAACAAACCACAGGCACTAGACAAACAAAGCAATCCCGTACTGTCTAATACAGAAGCAATTCATGGGGCGCACCACTCAATTGGCTCAACCCCTTTCCCCCTACATTTTTTTATGGGATGAATCCTCTGGCTGACTGGCTCTGGTGGTAATAGACACAGAGAGCACCACTGAATTTTTGATTATTTTACACAACATCACCATTACCAGAACAGAACAGCAGGTTGAAAACGAATTACGGGTTAAAACATTCAGAAGAATTTGCTTCCTTGTACCTCTTCATCCAGTCCGGCGACCGTGGAGCCGGCTTGACGGCCGACTTCCCCGACTCCGCTGGGCCATTCTCCATGCTCCCATCGCCGTCGTACTCCACGCAGTTGTTGTGCGGAGCCACGGATGAATCCCGCAGCACATCTCCTCCCCTGCTCCCAACCGCGCTCCCGCGCGGCGCCTCCTGGAAGATCAGCAACCTGCACACACGACGAAAAAAGACACGGCGCGCCGCCGGGGGGAGTCAAGGACCATGGATGAGCTCGCGCGGCCACCACAGAATACAGATGCGTATCGGATCCACAGGGAAATCATCGATCCCTCTGGCCCCTAGATGGGATCGATGGTGAACATATGCGACAGAAACAAAGCCAGACAACAAACATCCCTCCCTCCCCAAAACCGCCCACACTTGCCTGCTGGTCATGCCTCATGTGTAACGATACAGTAGCACTAATTCAAAATCTTTTCTAATCTCTGTGGTAGCGGGGATCCTAAACAAACCACAGGCACTAGACAAACAAAGCAATCCCGTACTGTCTAATACAGAAGCAATTCATGGGGCGCACCACTCAATTGGCTCAACCCCTTTCCCCCTACATTTTTTTATGGGATGAATCCTCTGGCTGACTGGCTCTGGTGGTAATAGACACAGAGAGCACCACTGAATTTTTGGTTATTTTACACAACATCACCATTACCAGAACAGAACAGCAGGTTGAAAACGAATTACGGGTTAAAACATTCAGAAGAATTTGCTTCCTTGTACCTCTTCATCCAGTCCGGCGACCGTGGAGCCGGCTTGACGGCCGACTCCCCCGACTCCGCTGGGCCATTCTCCATGCTCCCATCGCCGTCGTACTCCACGCAGTTGTTGTGCGGAGCCACAGATGAATCCCGCAGCACATCTCCTCCCCTGCTCAAAAACCGCGCTCCCGCGCGGCGCCTCCTGGAAGATCAGCAACCTGCACACACGACGAAAAAAGACACGGCGCACCGCCGGGGGGAGTCAAGGACCATGGATGAGCTCGCGCGGCCACCACAGAATACAGATGCGTATCGGATCCACAGGGAAATCATCGATCCCTCTGGCCCCTAGATGGGATCGATGGTGAACATATGCGACAGAAACAAAGCCAGACAACAAACATCCCTCCCTCCCCAAAACCGCCCACACTTGCCTGCTGGTCATGCCTCATGCGTAACGATACAGTAGCACTAATTCAAAATCTTTTCTAATCTCTGTGGTAGCGGGGATCCTAAACAAACCACAGGCACTAGACAAACAAAGCAATCCCATACTGTCTAATACAGAAGCAATTCATGGGGCGCACCACTCAATTGGCTCAACCCCTTTCCCCTTACATTTTTTTATGGGATGAATCCTCTGGCTGACTGGCTCTGGTGGTAATAGACACAGAGAGCACCACTGAATTTTTGGTTATTTTACACAACATCACCATTACCAGAACAGAACAGCAGGTTGAAAACGAATTACGGGTTAAAACATTCAGAAGAATTTGCTTCCTTGTACCTCTTCATCCAGTCCGGCGACCGTGGAGCCGGCTTGATGGCCGACTCCCCCGACTCCGCTGGGCCATTCTCCATGCTCCCATCGCCGTCGTACTCCACGCAGTTGTTGTGCGGAGCCACAGATGAATCCCGCAGCACATCTCCTCCCCTGCTCCCAACCGCGCTCCCGCGCGGCATCTCCTGGAAGATCAGCAACCTGCACACACGACTAAAAAAGACACGGCGCACCGCCGGGGGGAGTCAAGGACCATGGATGAGCTCGCGCGGCCACCACAGAATACAGATGCGTATCGGATCCACAGGGAAATCATCGATCCCTCTGGCCCCTAGATGGGATGGATGGTGAACATATGCGACAGAAACAAAGCCAGACAACAAACATCCCTCCCTCCCCAAAACCGCCCACACTTGCCTGCTGGTCATGCCTCATGCGTAACGATACGGTAGCACTAATTCAAAATCTTTTCTAATCTCTGTGGTAGCGGGGATCCTAAACAAACCACAGGCACTAGACAAACAAAGCAATCCCGTACTGTCTAATACAGAAGCAATTCATGGGGCGCACCACTCAATTGGCTCAACCCCTTTCCCCCTACATTTTTTTATGGGATGAATCCTCTGGCGGACTGGCTCTGGTGGTAATAGACACAAAGAGCACCACTGAATTTTTGGTTATTTTACACAACATCACCATTAACAGAACAGAACAGCAGGTTGAAAACGAATTACGGGTTAAAACATTCAGAATAATTTGCTTCCTTGTACCTCTTCATCCAGTCCGGCGACTGTGGAGCCGGCTTGACGGCCGACTCCCCCGACTCCGCTGGGCCATTCTCCATGCTCCCATCGCCGTCGTACTCCATGCAGTTGTTGTGCGGAGCCACAGATGAATCCTGCAGCACATCTCCTCCCCTGCTCCCAACCGCGCTCCCGCGCGGCGCCTCCTGGAAGATCAGCAACCTGCACACACGACGAAAAAAGACACGGCGCGCCGCCGGGGGGAGTCAAGGACCATGGATGAGCTCGCGCGGCCACCACAGAATACAGATGCGTATCGGATCCACAGGGAAATCATCGATCCCTCTGGCCCCTAGATGGGATCGATGGTGAACATATGCGACAGAAACAAAGCCAGACAACAAACATCCCTCCCTCCCCCAAACCGCCCACACTTGCCTGCTGGTCTTGCCTCATGCGTAACGATACAGTAGCACTAATTCAAAATCTTTTCTAATCTCTGTGGTAGCGGGGATCCTAAACAAACCACAGGCACTAGACAAACAAAGCAATCCCGTACTGTCTAATACAGAAGCAATTCATGGGGCGCACCACTCAATTGGCTCAACCCCTTTCCCCCTACATTTTTTTATGGGATGAATCCTCTGGCTGACTGGCTCTGGTGGTAATAGACACAGAGAGCACCACTGAATTTTTGGTTATTTTACACAACATCACCATTACCAGAACAGAACAGCAGGTTGAAAACGAATTACGGGTTAAAACATTCAGAAGAAGTTGCTTCCTTGTACCTCTTCATCCAGTCCGGCGACCGTGGAGCCGGCTTGACGACCGACTCCCTCGACTCCGCT